TCCCTCGGAGGCTCCTCTCGGGCGGTTGTAGATACCATCCCTAAGTTGCCTTCCAGATAAAACGTGTGTTTAACCAAAAAGCTACATTCCAAACCAGCTGCCATCAAGCCGATTTCAACTCACAGTGACCCCCTAGAATAGAGGCTGCCTGCCCTCGGGGGTTTCCAGTGCTGTCATCTGTATGGAAGGAGACTGCCACTTACCTACCTGAGGCGCAGCAAACAGCTTCATTATGAGTCAGAATCAGACCAATGGCAAGGGGTAAACTTTTGGTTGGATCCTATTTTCTATCTCAACGATTCTTTTGCTTAATTCGAAGATTCTGTGTGGTGACTCACCCAGAGAGTGACTCACGGGTAAATGAGGGAAGGGGGCCACGTTCCTACTCAAACCCACTGTCATTGAGTTGATTCTAACTCAGAGTGCCCTTTGTAGGCTTTGCGTCTGTAAAGCTTTACTGGAGCAAACAGCCTCATCTCTCCCCCTCCAGATGGCTGGTGGGGGTGAACCGCTAACATTGCATTTGGTGGTCCAATGCTCACCCGATCTCCCTACCAGGGCTCCCTGGGAGCCACGTTAGGTACCATCATGAATCACTAAGCCTCTGTGTAATTAGTGTGATAGCTTTGAATTTGACTCCGAGTCATAGAAAAAGATGTTGCATTTCCAGAACGGAGCTCTGTTTGCTCTGTAGGGTAAGGGTTGGATTGCAAACTTTAAAGTTGCTGATGCAAGCCCCCCTAGCTGATCTGCAGAACAGAGCTGCAGCTCTCTGTTCCAGTCGAGATTTACAGGCTCGGAGACTTTATATAGGGTCTCTGAGTCCAGAGTACGATTAGGCTTGCTACTCCCGCAAAGAGTTACTGTCTCAGAAACCCATAGGGGCAGTTCTACCTCGTCTGATCGGTCACTAGGAGTCAGATTCAATGTGCTGGCTGAGTTATGAGTCAGAACTGACTCAATGGCCGTAGATTTGAAATAGTCTCAGTGGCACCCCGCATCCAGCAAGCCAAACTGCTGGCCCTGTTTAGATGGCTCCCTCCAGGAGGCCATGTCTATCCCCACAGATACCTGTCCTTCTCTGCCAACATGCTGTGCTAAACAATAATCAACAGAAGAACCCAAAACAACCCCGAACACCAAGAAGCTTCTGGAACGAAGCACTACAGATACTGTAGTAAAAAAGCCTTGCCAGCCACCCAGGAGATGCGCCTTCCTTGGAGGAAGGGGCTCATTTTGACTTGATGGTGAATCGTTAAAAGTGAACCAGATGATTAAACTTAATAGAACAGCCCCATTAAACTGAAATTACTTTAAAACAAGAAAAAGAAGAAAAGAAAAGAAGATGCAAAAACACATGCCTGGGGCAGCCTCCAACCTTTTATTTGTTGTTCAACTTCTCTGTCTTTCGCAGTGGCCATGATGAATGACATCACAAAAGGGAAAATCCAATTAAAATCGAAGTGCTCAATAAACCCCTACTGTCTGGTTGTCACCACCATTCTCCCTGGCACTTCCCCCCAGGACAGAGAAGAGGAGGACTTCGGCGGAAGGGGAGGAGAAAGGCCAGAAAGAACAAGGGGGTGTCGAGAAGTTGACCTGCGCGCGTGTCAGACCCAGACAGTGCGCTCGGGCGGGGGGTGAGGTTCAATTGTTTTATCATCAGATAATGCCTGAGGGAAGCGATGCGCAGTCCCTCTGGTTTTCAAATATTGATAAATCAGAATGGAGATGGGGTAAGCCAACCCCTCCGTGCGCACTCTTCTTTGGCATCTCCTCTGCCCTTTTATATTGTCTCCGGTGTTTGTTCTGTAAGTCATCGGAATGGGCTCTTCTGACAGCTAAAAATAAGTTTCTGATTACTTTTACCCGAATAAATCTTCTGAACCAGATGTGGTATTCACCTACTAAGTGTGCAGCAATTACATAGTACAAGTGATGAGAGGAGAGCCTAGAAGCTTGTGGAATGAAGAAGATAATAAATCACATGCAAAGCCAGCAGGTGCCACCCCGAAGAAGAACAGGCCGGCTTTTGATAATAGATTTTACCTTAGAGATACCGCGGGTGAATGAAATTGGGTCTTCAAAGTCCTCAAAGCAAAGTTCTCAAAGTCACAATAAGAGCAAAAACACCCTTATTAGGGTGTTCCTCCTTAGGAACTGGAAGCTAATAGCAGTAACAGCAATATGTTAAACTTGGGAGAGACTTTATAATTTAGAACACGCATCACCCTTCCGATGGCATGGATTTTTTTTCCTTTCGTTTTCTGTTGCTGCTTTGCTGTTCTTTTTGTGCTGTACTCCCACCCTCCCTCCCACACTCGTTCAGCCCGCACCTCTCTCCTTAGCTCTGCTATTTCCATGAGTCGATTTCAACTCCCAGGGACCTCGGGGACTCAAGGGAGCTGCTTCAGAGGGTTTCTGAGGTTGTGTGTTTGTACAGGAGCCAACAGCCTCATCTTTCTCCCTCAGAGTGGCTGGTGGGTTTCAAATGACCTTGAAGTTCGCTGCCCCGTGTACAACCTGGTGAAACTAAATGACCAGGTTATTGTAAGACTGTGTGGAGCTGTGATTTCTCCTATTGCCTTTTTTTATGTCTTCCCTCGTCCCCATCATTTTTTGCCAACCTCATCCTTGCTTGTAGCAATGCATGTCGTATTTATTTACCTTGAATTAGATGTTCACAACTCCTTGTCATGTAGTTCTTAATACCCTCACTTTGTGGATAAGGATTGGGGTACCGCGTCCTTCTAGGCTTCTGAGATTCGGAGCTTGAAAGACCGGGAGCGGAAGCCATGCCCAGGTCTGTGGCGCCCCCTGCATGTGTCAGATTGCACCAGGGCTGCTCGAGAGTGATGGCCCAAAGGGCAACCACGTTGGTTTTGATACTCATGAGTTAATGAAAGAGCTGTTTAAGAGCTCTCCTTGGTCATTAGAATCTGACGATGGAGAGTTAAATTTTCCCCAGCGGCTCTTTCTGTGTAATCATGGTTTCAACATTTCTTTAGCTTCTCACATTACACAAATCATGGAGTGCGCTTGTTTTACATGTCTTATTGCGTTCCTCTCACTTCTAAGCAATTTCTTCCCCGTTCGCATTTCTCTTCCATTATGTCTGCCAAATTGCTTTCCAGGCTACTAATTGTCTGAATAATATTCTTTGCACCAAACTCTGCTGTTAACGAGCATGAGCTGTGTGGCATTGGGCCCGGTTTTGCTCCCTGTTTCAAAATAGGAGCACATCGCACCAAGGGATCTACCTACAAGCCCTCTTCTCGCACCCAAGTTCTAATCTCCTGACTCGTTCATACTAGTGGTGTGATTTGGTTTTTTTAGAACCTACATGAATAATGTCATCATCGCAAAAATCCATTTACTTGGCTTCAAAATGATAAATTGAATTAGTTCATGCTTCCCAAAGTGTGTTTCTTGGAAAATTGTTTATTGGGCATTTCCATATGGGTGACAGCCCCCAAACACATTCTGAAAACAAGAAAGAAACCTCGATTCAACAAAGTCAAGTACAACTTTGCACTGCAGGCTTTCAAATGTAGGTGTGTACATATGAACACACGCACATATATAGATTGGACAATGCTGTTCTCTCAGCATTTAGTATAAATGATATTCCATGGAATTTTTAGAGAGAAGGGATTCGTTTGGGGTTTTTTGGTTTTGCTTTTACAGAAAAAGAAGAAAATATTTTAAAAGCTAATTTTTCTCTAGGATGCTATCTTCCGACATGTTTATAGACACTTGTATGCATATTGTGCAGTGTTCATCAAAAGGACCCGGACGTGATAGACCATCTGCTGCTGCTATCTTTATTGTCACATAGCCCATGCCCTGGTCAGGCTGAGTTGGAATCAGGTGAAGATGAACAGTATTTCTACTCAAACTACCTTGATCTTATGAGTTGTAGGGTCTATAATCAGAGCTCTTCATAAAAAGCACTTTTTAATCATTTGTGCATAGGGTTTGATTATCTAAAGATCTATGAGGTACTATTTAAGCTTTTGTTGGAGGGGGGAAATGAAGCAATAAGAACTCAACGTTGTGGAAATAATCTTTAGGAAATGGGTTATTTTCCCAAGTTAGAATTGTCATCTTCCGTATAAAAAATATGTTGGCCTCCATTTGATTTAATCCTTGACCAAGAGCAGGACAATGAGTCATCTGCACCTTTGCTTGGTTACCTTCAGGTTCAAGTACCCACCACCTCTTAGGGCAGGCTAACCTTGCTTTAGGGTGGTGTGAATTATTAGACAGTACTTTCCTACATGAAACTAAAATCTTAATGTTAATTGTATTCCATGTGATTCTCTACACTTCCAACTTGACTTTCATGTAGTTATAATATCTCTTCCCAGAAAAGTGATGATAATCTCCATCGTAGTAAACTAAAGGACGACCTTTCCTAAATTCACCAAGATAGCAAACTATACCCGGAGCAAACTATACCCTGAGGTAGAATATACCCAGAGCTAATTCCAAAACTCAAGGTGTTTTCTGAAATTATATTACTTCTCTACAGGGTCTCTAACTTCTGTGCTTTAAAAGGGAGGAGGAGTGTTTATTCACAAAATCTGAAAACTGTCATAATGTAGTAAAAATAGGAGTTTCCTTCTAGCCAGGCTAATATAAGGGGGCTTCAAAAGGTTTGTGGAAGAGATGGAATGAAAAGATAATGGAATTTTTCCACAAAGTTTTGCACTCTCCTTTTATGTTGTTGGGGAGCAAGCTAATGCTCTTGCCCTTAGTTACCCCTTCTTCAAAATAATAATTGTTCAATGATCCCTAAGTTCTGCTCCCGTTCTGGGAAACTGTGACATATGACATACTATGAATTTATGTAACTTGTCAAAGGATCGACACCTGAATCCCTTACGGAGGCTTAAATGAAAGTAACCGTAGCATGCCTCATCAAGACAAAATATGAAAACATTTTTAGGATCACAAGCTTGACTTTTACTTTCTTTAATTTTTTTTTTCTACACTAGTTACATTCAGACCAGGATAGAGGAGATGGATCACTTAAATATATCCTTTCAGGAGATGGAGCAGGCGATCTCTTCATTATCAACGAAAACACAGGCGACATCCAGGCCACCAAGAGGCTGGACAGGGAGGAAAAACCTGGTTACATCCTGCGAGCTCAAGCTGTCAACCGAAGGACAGGCAGACCCGTGGAACCCGAGTCTGAATTCATCATCAAGATCCATGACATCAACGACAATGAACCCATCTTCACCAAGGAGGTCTACACGGCCACCGTCCCCGAAATGGCTGATGTTGGTGAGTGAGTGGTGGCTCTTCCACCAGCCACGTTCGCTCCTAGAACAGCATCTGAATGGGAACTCATAGGAGTGACATGCACCTCGTCGGATGCAGTTAGAGATGCCGAATTCTAAAATACCATATTTCAGCCCATCCGTGTCTGTCCTTTTTGTAAGTGGTCCCATATTTCTAACTACTCCTTTCAAACCAAAAACCAAACTCAGTGCCATGGAGGCAATTCTGACTCTCGCTGAGCCTGCAGGGCAGGATAGAATTGCCCCTGTGGGTATCTGCGTCTGTCACTCATTACAGGCATAGAAAGCCTGTCTCTCCCGTGGAGTGGCCAGTCATTTCATACTGTCCACCCGGCAGGTAGCAGCCCAATGTGTAGCCACTACGCAACCAGGGCTCCTCAAATAATTTTCCAGTCTTACTTCTTTTCTTATTTTGAAGAAACTGGCATTTCTTCAAGTGAGGACGTATGAAAAGTGTCAGAGGCAGGTGGGAGATAAGGGAGAACATGGCATCTACACCACTTCCATTCCAGCTCCCGCGTCAGGACCTTCTGCCTCTGACCCCCACTTCTTTAGTGGGCCAGAGAAAGCCATTTTATCTACTGCTCATAGCCCATGTGGCTAACAGGCTCCAGATAAGCGTCTCCAGGTCAATATGCAAAGTCAGCCTTAAGTTACACTCGGTTCAAGAGTAACAACTATCTAAGTCACCATAGGTTTAGGTCAGAGATTTCAAGAGAAGTTGTTTAAGTCCATAAACCATAACGCAAATATATATATGGGGGAGGGGGGGTGTATGTGTGTGTGTGTAGGGGATATTGGTCTTTTTGCTCGTTGGTGACATTAAGAAGGTTACCATGACAGTTAGTATGGTGAATTCATTGTGGATGTATCATTCTCCTACCAATTTTAAAGCTAAAACGTGTGGGTTTCATTTGTTTAGCTAGGGAGAAGGGTTACATTTTTTATTAAAGGATACTACTGACATCACTCGCAGTCATATTAAAATACTTGGTGGGAGACACTGCCAAATTCCAAATGACTCGTTAAAGGGCTATTTTTATTTTTGCTCAGTGTCAAATTCTAAAGGGCTGAAATTACATGATGAAAACGTTTCTAATTCTATAATCCTGTGAGTCAGATGTGGAGACGTTTTTGTTCACAGATCCAAGAGTTTGAAAATACCCAACCCACTGAGATGGTCGTAAGACGTCCAGATCATTCTCAGGAGGAAGCTGCTTCTCCTCTTTGCTTGAAACCACTTTGTTTTGCTAGAAAAAGCACAATTCCTCATAAAAGCCAAAAGGAGTAGTGAAATTCCATTAGAAGAAAACTCATCAGGGGGAAAAATGTAGCTTCCCTCTCGCTGGTAGAAGACAGATTGAATTCATAAAGGGCCCTCTCTCCATCATCATCCAGGGCTGCTACAACCAGACAAAGCCCCATGCTCTTTTGACATCATTATAGAACTTACCATTGTGTAAAAAACTGCAGGACAGCTGACACTCCTAGGCCTTCAAAAAGGGAAGCTTTTTCATGCAGGTATGATGATGTTAATCTTCATCGTTATCATAAATTAACAGGACATCTTTGTGATCTATACAAACATCTTAGAGAGGCGACAGAAAAATAGGGTCAACCAATAGTGGGGATTACAAATGGGCACCAAGCAGATCTGAGTCTGAAAACTTTCTCTGCTGCATACAGCAGTGGGTTCCACGGCCCTCGTGTTCTATTTCTCTAAGAAACAAGGATCATTGTCAATTCCTATAGGCTATTATGAAGATTGAATGAGAACGCCGGTGACAAGCTCCCAGCATGATATCTGGTGACCCACACACTTATTCAATAAACAGGACGTTGATTGCTCTTGGTGGGTTTTGTGTCAAAGCGTCATCTTTCTGGGAGCAGGCTGTGAGTTCTTTCTTCCAGAAGTTGGAGCCACCAATCTTTCGGTTAACAGCCTAACCCTTAACTAACCTTTGTGCCACCAGGGCTGGCTCTTAACTGTTGTCCTGATACTGCTAAACCATTGTAAAAATTCTAATATACCCTAACTGGAACATCTCTGCCCCCTTCATGCATGCAAGAAAGAACTCTAACAGTATAGTAACAATTTGTGTGTGGATATTACCCTAAAATCAGAGGCCTTTATTTCTCTTTGAAGTCACAGCTTCCTTTAAGAATATATAGACCTTTTTGTCCAGTAAAAATGTGCATGGAATTTCCAGGAACTTAGGCAACTGCGGTCCCTAAAATAAGAAGGTCTACCTGAAGCATCACCGCCTTCGTTGTGTATTTAATTCAAGATCATCTTGTGAAGTCCAGGGCCCAGATGCTTAGGCTCTGCTGTTGCAGTAACAACTCGCTTTAATCCAAAACTGCCTCCTCTCGGTTCGATGTACCTACAACTTGTTAGAAGCTAGGATTTGTTGCATTATTTGAAATACTGCAAATAACTACTGTATTGATTTAGTCACATTGCTAAGATCTCAAATGAAAGTGGGCAATAAACACAGTTCACTTGAGTTCTAGCTGTTTCTCTGTGATTTTCTGTGCTGTTCAGTGGGGTGTGCTTTGGTCCTTCAGTGTATCGCAAGTCACAAAATAGCTGGCCTTGCAAACTTCACATCCATATCATCACTTTCCAGAAGGGAGAAGACCTGTGATTCAGAATTCCCATCAAACTCATGTCTCTGAGTGGGCAACCCCTGAACTGATCCTTTGGCAAATGAATACCAGATGCTAATTGACTGAGGCTTGGTTCACCAGCAAGAATTCCTATCACAAGAGTCTGATTCCCCCTTGGGGGGATGAGTTGGTATAAGTCCCATCCAAAACCATGACCATCAATTTATCTTTAGAATAATCCACTCGATGTTTATAAATGTCAGTGCCATTCCTTTGAGGGAGAACTCCCAGGAGGTTTCACCACGTCCATTGCCTGGCCTTGATTGCTCTGTCTAACAGTGAGGTCATGCTGTGTCTTTCTGCGCATGTATCAAGGACTGGAAATAGACCTGTAACTTGCTTTCATCTTCTGTCATTTACAGGCACCTTTGTCGTCCAAGTCACAGCGACGGACGCTGATGATCCAACATACGGGAACAGTGCCAAAGTTGTCTACAGCATCCTCCAAGGACAGCCATATTTCTCAGTTGAATCAGAAACAGGTTAGGCTTCCTCTTTGGCCTTTTCACAGTCTATAATTTTAATTGGCATCCTCAGCTGAGCTAGCATTTTTTAATAAAAATCAATCAGTGTGATTGAATCTCCCTTAGATTCATCAGCCCGACACCAGTGACGTATGTGTGAGCATGACAGCCAGAGCATTTTAATCAAGAAATCTGACAAGGAACCTTCCATCCACCACATTTACCGAGGGTAGATGCAGAACGCCTAGGCGCTGCCTTAGATTTGTTCTCCCAGGTGTGGGCGCAGTGGAAAGACTGTTCTCTTTGGAGAACCACTCCTACGACTTCCGGCAGGAAGGAACTGTCCGCCCAGCCCTGAAGACAGCCGTGACCGTGTGCTTTAGGGAGGCCAATAAAATGAGAGTGACAGTGGCAGGGGGCACCCCAGGCAGAACTTTTAGAGTTGGTACCCCATCTACCACGTTCCCTTTCACTGGCCAAAATGATCCCGGCATCATGGGTAGAGCTGGGGTCTCCACCTGGATGCTAGAAGGTATGAAAAGCAGAGTTTCCCGCAGGCTCACCTGGAGCATGAGCAAGAAGTAAACTTCAGTCCCATGAAGCTGGTGAAATTTTGCTATCACGTCATTGTCTAGCCTATCCGGAGACAGCCCTCATCCAGCAAAGCAAAATACCTACATGGGAGTCTTCGTTAACAGCTCATTTTTCTGTCCTTTCTTCAAGAAGAAAGAGGTCCTGGTGGCACTTGCCAGAGAAGTGTTAGACTGCTAGTTTCAAGGTCATGGGTTCAAAACCAGCACTGGCTCCGTGGGAGAATGGTGAAAGGATCTTCTCTTGTCAAGATTAACAGGCTCATAAACTGAAAAGGGGTTGCTATGGGGAGAAATGGATCCAATGGCTGTGGGGTTTGGTTTGGTTTGGGTTTTCCGGCTGAATATTAGTGGTCTCGCTTTGCTGTAACAGAAATGCCACCGAAGGTCATTTGTAAAATAAAATCAAGAAGAATGTATTTATCATGATACAGGAGGTAAAAGTTTGAAATCAGGATACTTGCTCCTCTTGAGTCAGGACCGTTGGTGGAGCAGTTGTGTTAAGCGTTGGGCTACTAACCTCAAAGCTGATAGTTGGTCCCTCTGACTATCCCAAGGGAGGAAGATGAGGCTGTCTTTCTGTACAGATTTACGGTCTGGGGAACCCTACAGTGTCCTATAGGATCACTTCAAGGTGGGATCAACTCGAAGGCAGTGGGTTTGGCTTTTGTTTCGTATTTTTGTCTTGGTTAATGGTGGGGGCGGGGGGATGGGGAGGTTGTTGGTTGGTTAGTTGTTTACAACTCCCTTTTGTCTCTGGCTCCAGAGAAGGCCCTTGTCTCTTCCATCATTCTCCGGTTCCTTGCTGAAACTCGCATCGCATCTACCTTCCCCACTTGCATTGTAAAAATTCTAACCTGATCTTTTTATAACTCAGAACTGATTAAGGTTAGGAGACACACTATGCTATATACACACTACACACGAAAACCCTATTTCCAAAGAGGATCAGATTCCCAAGTATCTCACTGCAATGGAGTCGATTCTGACTCATTGTGCCCCTGTAAGACAGGGTAGAACTGCCCCAACGAGTTTCTGAGACTTAACTCCTTACAGGAGGAGAAAGCCTTGACTCTCTCCTGCAGCTGGCAGCCCCACACAAAACCACTAAGCCACGAGGGCTCCATAGGTTCTGAATTCAACACGTATTTAAGACAGTGGTGAAGGAGAGGGGAGGCGACCCCAATTTAATCTCTAACAGGTCTTATGATGATTGTTTTAAATAAAACAATCCGGAAATTCTACACAGATTTTTCTGTCCTCGTAGGAGTTGAGTCCTCTTTATGCATTTTGCAAAAATGTATTATTGTTAGAGGAAATCAGGCTTTCCTCGATTGTTCCATCTAGTTAGAAGTCGGTGTTTTAAACAGAGCAACGAAGTTGGAAAGGATCCCACGGAGAAAGAAAATGAGAATGAAGCATTAGAATGATTCACCTTAAAGAACAAAAGGCAAAGGTGATCTGTATTAAAATAGAAATGCTCTATTATTTAGAGACCCGAAAGCAGCTGCACTGTCATGGAGAGTTGGACTCTTGGTATAAAATTGACCTGTTGTCTTTGATATTCTTGTTAAAAAATGTAAAGGAAGGCATTTTCAGCTTCCTTAGGTGTTAAGTAATGGAAAGTGCTACCAGAAAAGGTTAAAAATGTAAAAGGCTTGTTGAGGAATATTTGAAGGAATGCTATTAATGTAAGCATAAATCCTTCATGGAGAATAGGCCAACTTTTCAGAAGTTCTTTCAATTAATTATTTTATAACCATCTAACAAAGGAGATCAATTGAACCCAACTTTGAAGTGCTGGTCACTACTGGGACCAGCTGAGCTACTACTATATCCCCTTCAGGACAGGCTAAGTTCTCTGGGATCAGACTAGATGATTAATTATGAGAACGAATGCTGTGTTTTCTGAAGACCAAAGTTTTGTGGTTTACACAATCCCCGAGCATTCATTACGGTGTGTAGATTTGAGGAGCAGTTAGCCAAATCAGTAAAATGAAACTCAAGAATCGGTTCAAGTATTTGGCTTCCTTAACAATTGCCTCATATTACACCCAAGTGTCTTTTCTTAAGCAGCTGCTGGAGAATGCTTTATCCCATAGGCCATGTTCCGTTTTGCTGGATCATCTGCTAATTCTTAATATTTATACTTCTTGCCACCTATTCTGTCTCAGGATTTGACTTACACTTATTTTCATTCTCCTACTATAGAGTGTTTGGATACTTTGGTTTCTGTTGTGTTTTTTTAATGTTTCCCTGCATGCTTATAATTCAGTATCATTCCATCCGGAGGTTGTGTATGATCATTTTTACATCACCCCTGACATTTACACTGGGTTTTGCATATTGTAGGTGAAAATCTGTTTGTTTGCATCAATAAATGATTCCAGGAGGTATTCCTAACACCTCCCTTTCCGCTCCTGGTTTTCCTCTCCGTAGGTATCATCAAGACAGCCTTGCTCAACATGGATCGGGAAAACAGGGAGCAGTACCAAGTGGTGATTCAAGCCAAGGACATGGGCGGCCAGATGGGGGGCTTGTCTGGGACCACCACGGTGAACATCACACTGACTGACGTCAACGACAACCCTCCCCGGTTTCCCCAGAGTAGGAACGTTTTTAAATTTTTAACTTGTTAAAAAAGTGATGTTTACTTCCCATTTTATCAAGGATCAGTGAACTTAGAGAAAGAATTAGGAGACTCTGGGTGACTCAATTGACTACTAATTAAAAGGTTGGCCATCTGAACCCATCCAGAGGCCTTTTGGAAAAAAGATCTAATGATCTGCTTCCCAAAGTCACAGCCTGACAGCCTCCAGATCACAGTTCTACACTGCACATCTGGAGTCTCCCTGAGTGTGTTAGTCTGTGCTGACGAGAGAAACAAATTCATAAGCACTCATGTGTATAAGAAACAGCTTTATATCAAAGAGTAATTGAGAAGACATCCCAGCCCAGTCCAGTCCAGATCAAGTCCATAAGTCTGATATTAACCCATATGTCCGATACCATTCTAAAAAGTCCTCTTCAGACTCATGCAACACATGCAATGATGCAGAATGCAGGAAGATCCCAGGCCAGTGGGTGGGAAATCTTGTGGATCCAGAGGCGGTGGAAGCATCTTGGTGCTGGTGTGGGTCTCCATGTGGCTCCTCCAGCTCCAGTGCTCTGGCCCCATGAGCGTAGCTCCATGTGGCTTGTCAACAGGAATCCCTCCCACGGAGAGTGTGCATCCTGACTCTAGGGAGGAAGACAGGAGTTCCCAAAAGCCTCAGAAGGCCATGCCCACACCGAGGCCTCATTGGCTATGATCTGATTGACAGGCTAGACTCCACCCCTTCACTCAGGTTGACAGTAGTTGATGTAACTGCCACAAGGACTCACAACCAACTCAACAGCCATGGTTTTAGTGGTTTGTTTTCATAAGAAATGGCACATTTTTGGAGAAAGACTTGGCCAAAAAGTTGACCCTTAGTAAATGTAAATTGACTTAGTAAACATTAATGATTCTGTGCTAATAACTGGCTGACGTGCCTGTTGTTTTCAAGGCAGTTTCGTTTTATGTTTCCTATTAAAATTGCTACCGCAGCCCTAAACGTGCTTGTGCAGAACATATGTGTACAAGCTGCCACCCTTTGTTAGGAGAAATTTGACTTCGTGTTTTGTGAATTTAATCAGGCATGTAATCTCTTTTAAATCCTCACAAAGCTCGGTAAGGAGAGGATTTATCACTTTACTGTTTCTAAAAATATAACTGTGGAAAGAACTCTGTACTTAGTCCATTTGTAATCATAAACAGTTTTCTCTATTATAGTTAATTAAGGCACCAAAAAGTCCTCTCCAAATCCTTAACTCACATGACTTGATAGGAAGGGGAATTTTTAATAGATGAATTTTAAAAGCACAACATCCATAAATGCCCATTTCCCATCCCACACCCTTTCAAACAGCAGCGCCCACATGGGAAGTCACTTAAAGGCAGTCTTTCTTCCCCGAGCAAAATTGCTGTCTGACCATGATCTCATGAGAAGTTACTGCAGTCCTCTCCTAGGTCCGAAGCCTGTTCCCTTAACCATGGCACTTTGTAAAAGATGATCGGCTAATGGGTGTTCCTTCTAGAAAGGGCGTTAGACTTGGGTCAAAATAAAATCGCTTTATTTTTATTTATATGTATGTTTTATTAGAGCTAGCTAAAGTTTTTGTTGTTGTGTTTTGGTTTTGCTTTTTTTCTTTAAACCCAGAATGCTCACTTCTGATTTGATGGCTAAAATAAAGGTTTTATGAGGCCCAAAGTCCCGCCCAGCCCTGTGACTTGAGCTGAATGCATCAGGATAACGGAGACTGTGTCTTGCAGTCTCTTTTCTCACCAGAGGGACAGCCTTTGGAAGGAGAGTGTAAGGATGCACCCGCTTCTTGGTACCACCGGGTCTCTTAGGTCACTGCCCGCACTCCTTGGATAACCAAGGCTCATTACTGGACAGGGGAACAAGGAATGTCAAAATGGGTACCAGTTGCTGTCAAGTCAATTCTGAAGCATGTTGATCCCACATGTGTCAGAGTAGAACTGTGCTCTATCGGGTGTTCAATGACAGGGTTGGGTTATTTTTGGGTGGGAGCGGTCCTTGAAGATTACCAGGTGTTTCTTCCAAGGCATCTCATAGAAGACCACCCAGAGGTGGTAGGCTCTGGACAAGCCTAATACTTTGTGGATTAATAGTACTGGCTCACTGGACTTTAGTGATATCCGTGTCTGCTGCAGTCTCTCAAAACCATTTACATGAGTGATTGGTGAAATATAATGGAGGAGGGTAAAATACGTTATACTTTTGCTATTTTATTTTACTTTTTTGCTCACTTGTTTGTTTTTATTACATACCGGGCAACAGATCTAAATGGAAACTCACAAAACTTAAGAGAACGAGTCAAGAGAATAAGAATGTATTTACTTATACCACTAACTCCACAGCTAGACTTCACTCTGTGTACAGGTCAAAGGATGCCTATTTGGATACATCCTCGAAATGGCTGTAATTTACTTCAACCTCATTATTAGCAATGGCAGAAAGGTCTCGTCTCAAGAATTTCTAGTAATTGGCTGCCAGTCACAATCCGCGTTAAGTTGTTTTATATTTCTGCTGTCGGGTGACATTACCAGGAGCCTTTGAACCTCTGTGCTCCCGGCTGCACTCTCCCGACCACACCACCCACTTTAAAGCCTGACTACAGGCTGAGAGAAGCATTGACCGTGTGCAGCGGGACAGATCGTGAAACAGAAGACATAACCTCGGCTATCAGAAAAGTAAAGACATAAGGAAGCAAGGGGCTCTATTCATTCGTTTGAGAAAACCACAAATCTGCCTGTTACCATGGTCCTGTCTGAGAACTGTGGGGGGGAGGGGGAGTATACACACACACACACACCTTTGGGGTTGTGCTAGAAGAATGCTTCGTCTGTGCTTGACTCTTTTCTGTCTGGTGATTAATAGGTTCATACCAGTTTAAAACCCTTGAATCTTCTCCACCGGGGACGCCCATTGGCAGAATCAAAGCCAGCGATGCTGATGTGGGAGAGAACGCTGAAATTGAATACAGCATCACAGAGGGAGAGGGGCTGGACATGTTTGACGTCATCACCGACCAAGACACCCAGGAAGGAATCATAACGGTCAAGAAGGTGCTGCCTTTTCTTAACGTCCCACTCAGATGAATGCCTTGCCGGTTTTCTGCCTGCTGGGTGGCTGAGGTCTATGACATCTCACATAAGCATTCCTCTGGCCTGTTATTTTTCTAATGAGTCAGAAGAGCACCCACTAGGTTCAGAGATGTCTTTGGCTAGCTTTTGGGGGTCCACGATCCTTTTAAGTTGGCATTATCTCCAGACTATTTAGAGTTTTGTATTTAGAAGTTCCTACGTAAGTAAATAGAAACAAATTACCGTATATACTCGTGTGTAAGCCAAGTTTTTTTCAGCCCATTTTTTATGCAGATTTTGGGGTAAAATTGGGTGCCTCAGCTGATATTCAGTCTGCTTATACAAGAGTATATACAGTACATAAGTCAAAATGCATCAAGTAACTTCTGCAAATGAGCAATGGGCCACCCCTGTTCTAGGGGCTAGGGGCACAATAGCACATACAACTGAAAGAGCTCTGCTCTCAGGAAACGACCAATCCAGTGGGAGAAGTAGAACAGGAAGGCAATGACCCAACTGATAAATGTAGAACTACCACTTGTGAGGCGTGCATTGGAAGACACTAATCAAAAGCCTGAGTGGTTGAGGTAACCCTGAAACCGAAATTTTATAAGGAAGACATAGATCAATACAAAACAAACACAAATCAATGACATACATTTTCCCACCACCTCTAGCTACTTTTCCTCCTCTAGCACAACAGTGATAGGTTTTACATTCTCAATTTTGAGTTTCTCCATCAGTACCTGTTGACTCTTTCCAAAAATAACCCTCCAAACTCACTGTGCCCTTGAGTCGGTGCCAGTTCACAGCGACCCGAAAGGACAGGGTAGAACTGCCCCTGGGAATTTCCGAGACTAATTCTTCCCAGGATGAGGAAGCCCGATCTTTCTCCCAAGGAGTGGCTGGTGGTTTCACACTGCTGCCTGACAAATTGTAGCCCAACATGTAGCCATCGGCCACCATGGCTCCTTGTCATTGACCACCACTGCCGGGAGCTGGAACCCAGGACCTTCTGCCGGTAAAGCAAACTTACAAACTAGCTTCACAAAACAGTCTACCGAAGTGTGACCAAAATATCACAAAGCCTGATAAATATAGCCCTGGTGGTGCCGTGGTGATGCGTTGGGCTGTGTGATCCACATGGTCAGAAGTTCAAGACCGCCAGCACCTCCGTGGGAGAGAAACTGGGCTTTCTACTCTTGTAAAGAGTTGCTGTCTTGGAAACCCACAGGGAGGTTTCTATACATCAGCATTGACTCGATGGCAGCCAGAGTTGTTGTTGTTGTTGTTGTTGTTTTTAATAGTATTACATTCCCAGGCAAAAAATGGGATTTATTTTCATGCGCTGTCTGGAAGTTTTCACTGTTTTTCATGCCGAGATGTCATGTTTTCCCTTTTTCTTCAGTGAATACCAGCACTATCTCAACATAAACAACCTTTTTTTTTTTCATAAGTTTTGGATTATGTGTCTTAATATCCGGAAACACGAGCAAGCATGTTTTAGTGACACTCCGACCAATATTTTATGCCATAATATAATTAGGAGGCCATTAGTGTGCATTAACCTTTTTAATTTTCTTTGGGCCTTATCAGATGCAAACTGAAATATTGCCTTAGCCGGCTGAGTGGCATTCGCTAGGATCTTGATTAATTGGGCTTCTGGTGAGCCTTTTCATATTATCATCTGAATCTGGCCGGTAGCAATAAACACCTGGTTCCCTCCCTGGGTCTCCAATCGTGGAGACACTCTGCCCAAAGACCTTTGACAATAATCATTATTTCTCAGGCAAATAATTAGCCCGATGCCCTTATCAGGATATCACTTGGGATAGTTTATTGTCTCGTGCAGAAAAACTTTTTAATTAAATAAACATGATCTATAAAAGGAAAAGAGCCCTGTGGCATCGGGATTAAAGTCAGCTGTTCAAAACCACCAGCCGCTTCTACTTCCACAGACCTTTACAGTATCCGAAATGTGCTGTGGCAGTTCTACCCTGTCCCTTGGGGAGCGGGGAGCTAGGGGACTGAACTGACTCTGACAGTGAGTTGGTTTGGGTTTGGATAAAAATAAAGTGGCATCCTGCTGCCAGGCTGATTCTCAATTCTGGCTGCACCGAGAATCCCTGGAGAGATGTTTGAAACTTCAGGGCACCCAATGTTTAGGAAGCATTGCATATCCATCCCTGGGAGAATGGTGGCAGATACAGGTGATGGGTGCACATCCTAATCAATGTAGCCAATGTCCCTGAAGCGTACAGGCCTAGAATGTTGACCAGGTCAAGCATTGCATCACATATATTTGTATCACACCCACAAATACTAAACTAAAATAAATAAAATACAACGGACCCCCATCACCACTATTTATTCTCATTTATATTGGTCTAGGGTGGGGACCAGACATGATGGCATGTTCTAAACCCTCCTCAGGTGCTTCCAATTAAGACCAGATGTGAGAACATCTGACACCAAATTATCTAGTGTGTGTTTGCCAACCTGCCTCCAGCTTGGCTCTCTCTAGTCCAATATAAGGCTTTAGAAGACAAAGCAAAACCAGATTCTGTGTCCTGCCCAGAATGATGCCTGCACCTCAGCTCAGCACCTGTGGGCAAGAGCTTAGTCCATCCCTTGTCAGCGCTGGGTGTCATCTCTCTTTTTAGACTATGTTATTGTTTCCCGCCCATCATCGACCTGTCGGGAGAGACACTCATGGCACTCTGTCTCCTGTGCTGCCCAGACTCATTACCTTAATATGTCATGAGCAATCTGATCGTGTTTGCTTATTGTTGGTTAGCCCGGGGCGGGAGGGGGGGGAACAGGCTCATGTCTTGACGACGTGTGTTCACTGCTTGAAAGATGTCTCCTTTCTCTACCCCAAGCTTTTGGATTTTGAAAAGAAGAACGTGTACACCCTCAAAGTGGAAGCATCCAACCCGCACGTGGAGCCCCGTTTTCTCTACCTGGGGCCATTCAAAGATTCAGCCACTGTTAGGATTACGGTGGAGGATGTGGACGAGCCCCCAGTCTTCAGCAAACTTGCTTACGTCCTACAGATAAGAGAAGATGCGCAGGTCAACACGACAATAGGCTCAGTAACAGCCCAAGATCCAGATGCTGCCAGGAACCCAGTCAAGTAAGCATGCTTGCTACAACTTGTCTCTGTTTCACAGAGTGGCCGTCCTCATGTAAACGTCAGCCTGCATGTAGCAAAGGACGGATGCCACCTTTTTGCCACCCGACTACTGGTGCTTTTCAGGGAAACTTCCCTAACAGTTCCTTCCTCTCCTTGCTCATCAAAACTAACTTTTAGCAATAGCATAAAACTAAAAATTTAGAAAACCTGATATGAGCTATAAACAGTTCACTGCTCATGTAGAAGTGGTAGCAGGCAAACAGGGAATCACCCAGGATTTTTTGTGGAGAAGCCATATGGAGGGAATAGCCTGTGTGATAGGTCAGGGTGCACTCTCATGTGTGTTACAAGAAAGAAATTTATATGAAGAAGCAACCTTCTAGCCAAGAAGGCGGCTCAGTCCAGTCCAACACAGCTCCATCGGTCTGATGCTGGCCTGGGTCCTCTTGAGATTCGCATAGCCAATGCTGAAAGGTGAGCGGGAAGCACAGAGATGGCGGGGCCGGTGCGTGCAGAGGCATGTGGATCCCAGGTCGGTGAGAGCATGGTGGGGCACCAGCAGTTCTCAGGTCTCAGTGGCCACACGGGACCACCCCTCAAGGGAGGCAGAATGCCAGTAGGCAGGAAGACGGTAGAGCAGAGAGAGTCCCTCACGCTCATCCAAATGACTTAGGGCACCAAGGAGGCATCATCAGGCTACCAGCTGGGTCACAGGTTTGACTCTGCTGCCAGCCAGGAGTGTCCAGTGGACATAATCCCTAAGTACCCGAGCATGGCTTTAAATGAACAGAGCCCTGGCCTTGGGAGTCTGTTTTCAAATGTGAATAACCCTATCAGATCACACTTAGGGCACAATTATAGTTCATTTGAATGCCTCCCCTCCTTTTTTATACAATCTCGAATGATAACAAGAACTGTTTCAAAATATGTCTCTGAAATCCTGGAGAAATTAATGGAGCTGCCTTTGAAGGATCCTATGTCAACCAGCACTCTTTTCCCTGTACTTTCCTTACCCCGTCATGTAAATCATGCTACAAACAAGGCTCAGTCCTCTTTGGGGCAAGCATGCTTCAGAATTCAAGCATCGTATCACAAAAGCACTGAAGTCAGCCAACCACCATCCTTTGACATTAATTTACCAGGACCTTTAACCAATGAAATAAGAATATTGCTAAGCCAGACTATCCTTGTATAAATGATTGCCCATAAATAAAATAAGCCCTTAAAATAAAAATAGAGGGGGGAAAGCTGGCGGAATTCTTCTTGAGCAGGTCACCGAGCTGTTCTCGGGCCCCTCCCTTAGTAGACCAGCCAGGTTCTCAGCACAAAGGTTGCAGCAGAGAAACAGTCTCGAGTTCTGAACTCATGGAGGTTACCATTGATTTGGGGTCTATTGAAAATGCATGAAGGTGTATGGGATTAGAAACAAACAATGTATCCCACATTAAATAAAGCAGAGGGTGCTATTTTAGACAGCGATGCCAGAAGTGGTGGCCAGTCGTGTGTGGAGGTGTGAATGAAGTGCAGGTGTGAGGCTTGCTGAGATCTGGGCAGGGGTGCTTCAAACAAAAGATGGAGACGCAAGAGCCAGGTCTCCTTATTGATCTGGAAGAAGCAAAGGGGCCCGCCAGTGCTGGAAGAGAGGGAGGGAGGCGCAATGCTTTGAGGCAACTGGGAGCCGGGCGTGCTAAGAACGGCTGCTCACACCGGGGTGGGTGGGCGAGTCAGCCACGGTAAAGAGCAGATCCTACGCCGATTGAAATGGGGAGGCTTGACAAAGCTTTGAGTAGAAGAGCTATAGAATCCAAAACTATCTTAAAAGACAACCATTGACGGCTACACGGGGAGTATTTGAGATTTGCAGATAAAAGAATTCCAACTTTTTAACCACTGGGCCCGTTGTTCGAATGAAACTTTATAACAAGGCTCACATATAAAACACAAAAATACCCAGAATAATTTTAAACCAATGGGAAGCTACCTTTCCCGAGACTGGAATACTCGTGGACACTTTGCACTGGACCCGAACTCAACCCAGCTCCCTTCATGAACCCCGTGGATCAGACGTACCCGTTCACTGTTGTTAAGAGGGAAGAGGAGCTCTGGTTTTCACACCCACCCCTGGCACAGGGACACTCTAGTAGTGTTACACAATCACCAGGTCACCCGCGGAGTCCAACGCTGAACCCTGAGTGCTCAAAGTGCACAGATGGAAGCATATGCTTGCTTCTCTGTTCGGTCCACCAGCTTTTTAATGAACACGGTCATGTCCACTGGGAGTTCAGGCCCTAGTTCTGTGCCAAGATTCCTTCTTGTTAACAGAACACTATTCTTACCTTCAGCATTATTTTATTTTTTTACTGAAAGACCAAGTTGGCTTGTCAAACTGGGTTGACTGTCAGCTAAGGTTGACATTTTTCTGCCAGCCTTTCCTTAATGCATGCAGGTTGGGTAGCTGGAACTATAGATGTAAGGATAGGACTGGGCATGTGGATAGATAAATGTATATTTTAGTGATTTGTTTTCTAGGAGAAAATTGATTCTCACCTTAAGGAAATACATCCAGATGTAGTTTTTGCTAACTTCAGACATAATTCTTGAACACCTAGGTGCTAGGTCATATTAGGTGCATGATTAATGCCAGAGAATTCCTCCCCCAAATATTGCCTTACCATTATGCAGCTACAAATCTTTAATTTGGGGGTCCTCCCCCAAAATAATTTTTCTTTGAATAACTAGTAATGTGAATTGCCCTTTGATTTTTACATAAGGGCGTGGTGAAATGCCATTGTGAAAAGTTCGCAGGTGAAAACACCTCCTTTCTTGGCCCACACATCCCTCTGGCTTACGGGCCCAGCAGTGCACGTGCAGGCTTTCCTTCACAGCTGTGGCCAGATCCCAGGTACCCAGCTCTGCCCCAGGGAGGAGAATTTGACCAGTGAACAAATTTCTTATGAACAAATTGCACACGTGAGACACATACAGGCACACCTCACTGCCGTGTGCCCCCCTTGACTGTACTCCACAGACATGGCCTTGTTCACACATGGGAGATTCCAGCAACCCCATGTCCGGCAAGTCCTTGGGCACCATTGTTCTAACAGCACACGCTCCCTCAGTCTCTGTGTCACAGTTTAGTACTCCTACGATATGTCAGATTTTTCATAGTGCTGTTGCTAACATCAAGGGCGAGAGGATAGTGTAAACCTAGCTTTTATACGCACTGGAGAACCAAGCCATTCGTGTGATTGGCTTTATTGCTGTATTTGCTTTATTGTGGCAGCCAGGGACCAAATCCGCAATATCTGTGAGGTGTGTCCACACAGTATCGACAAGAGTAGAAATCAGTTTCATCTCCGCAGACAACACACAGTGTGCAGCAGACCAGGCTCCATCCTTCCTGCCTCAAAGGTGTCCAGTGGACCAGAAAACTCCTATGGGAACCCCACTTTGTGTTGCAGCCGAGAGGAAGGACTCCAAGGGTCTCCCCCGCCCGCCCCCCCTCCACGCCCCCCAGCTGGTTTTGGTTAGACAGGTTGCACAGAGAACAACAGGAGCTCTCCAGCCTGCTGACCCAAATAGGAAGCAGTCAAACAGGGAGGCACCGGCTGGAAGTGCTAGCCCAGAACTTGTGTCTGTTTACCCCTACTGCTTATTTAGACAAACCATTCTACGCAACAAGGAGAGGGAGATGTAGTGGTCGGCCCTGCAGCCCAAAGATGCCAGGGAGTGGGTCATCGGAGGGGTTGCCTCCTCTCAGATATATTGCAAAATAAATTGTTGACTCACAAAGGGCAGCATAGTCCAGGGAGTGGCAGGGGGGAGGGGGCTACCTAGGCAAATGATCTGCTCTAATCAGCTGGAATTGATGACTCTGGCCCTTATCAGTGACATCCACAATTAATGTGACTGGACAGTAGGTATAAATCCTTTATACCCATTGGAATTACGCTGGAAAGAATAGCAACAAATAAATAAGCTCCTGTGACAAATGTCGGCTATTTTTTTTTTTTTTAAGCTGTGGTGGGGTAGTAGGTTACATGTAGAGCTGCTAACCCCAAGAGCAGCAGTCCAAATGCCCCCGTTCCTCCATGAGAGAAAGGTGAGGCTGTCTGCTCCTGTACAATTCTCAGCCTCAGAAACCCAAAAGAGCAGTGTTACTCTGTCCTGTAGGGTCACAATGCGCCACAATTCATGAGATGGCAGTGAGTGTTTTGTTTACTAATTCTTTTTTTTTTTTAAT